CCCTGCATAGTTGCATACAGCTACTTAATTATCAGTTACAGCATAGAACACATCAAATCGTACCGAGCCAACCGGAAATATTGGGGGAGTAGGTGAGCGGAAAGTGGAAAACAGACACCGCGCTCTTTTGAGGCGACGAAGCGTTACCATTCAGACTGGTTACTGCTCAAAGCTTCTAACGTGTCTCCCCTCTCTTCCAATTCAGTTGCTTCCCAGTGATTTACTTTTTTCACTGGGTCTGCACCACTACGTGTACCACCATAATGCAACTTCTGAAGGATCGCTGGGGGTAGTCTCGAATTTCTCAAGGAACTTCTGATTACCGTTCTGGACAAAATGGATAACGGGCATCATCAGATACCCATCATAAGTCGACAGTTCGGATAACCTAGATCGTCTATGTGCTACCACTAGAAAAAGGAAGTGATTTCATGATTCAGTCAATGACGGGTGAGGAGTGAGTTTTGTTTGCTATTTTACATATACATGCACTTGCTGTACAGGGTACAGACCTGCCTAGATTATGAATTTTATTGAGGGAAATAAAACTCTGAAAGTGTATGATAGCTTTTAGCCCCCTGTCACACTTGTTAATTCGACAAGTAACCTCCCCCAACACGACAAAATTGCTTACAACGCTGTCGATTGGCGTCGAGCGTCTCGTGCAGTGGAAGTACAAACGCTTCTGTGAGTCGGCGAACAGGAGTACGGTTAGGCTGAAAAAATTTGTTCTTATTCTTACTCGATATTCATGTCTATTAATGAGTGACAGAAATTAATTACTGCGTTTGGATCATCTCGTTTTTGAACATCGACCAGTTCAAGGCTTCGATCGCCATCGCTCTCGCTTTCCGTCGAGATGTGACGGGACTTCCTTCGTATACTCCGCCACATCCCAAACCCACTGATCGATCGAGTCCTTGGCGATGTAGTTATCTGTAACTCCACACCTATGGTCTACATCGAATTCTTAGACTTTCGGTGTTGTAAATAACCTCCTTCCTAAGCAACATGACTAGAAAGACTTCGGATTACGATCGCTTGGCTTGTACAAGAAAGTAGCGAACCTTGTTAAGTGGCACACTAGGGCTCTTAGTGACCCGGCTGCTTGACGGTTGGGATGATTCAGCACCCTCGTCTTCGATATCTTCAAAGATCGTTCCTTCGTCAGTTTCCTATAAATGGTAATTTTTGTCGGTTAGATATTTTGAGTACGCGATGTGCTTACTTTTATCGGGGCATGCTTCCGCGTGCTCGCTCTGCGATCTTTCCGTGCAGGAATAGATGCAGCTGACGAATCCGAATGTTGATCGGTTGCCGTAGGGGTGTACGACCTGGGAAGGTCTAGCGGCCGACACGACAGGTCCTCTTTCAGTTGAGTCAGTTCAATTTGACACCTAGAACAAATGGAAGAAAGGTAATTGAGTGATACGACCGTAATTTCCAAATTGAAGAAATTAAACAAAGAATTTCCAGAAGAGGTTAAGTTCCCTCAACTCATCAAAATGCCTACTTGCCGAAGGCTCTGAAAAAGCGATTTTGTAAGAATACAATCGACATTTTGAGTAGAAAAAAGGAAAGGTAAACGGAAACTCACTTGTGCAACATTGCTCCCAGTGACATTGTATAGTAGTTTTTTGACTCCATCCTTTCCACAATCTCAGCTTGCCATATTGCATCCTGCTCGCAGGTCGGTTTTTGTTTGACCTAGATTTTCTCAAATCTCCAAACTAAAACAGTAAAGAAAACGAGAAGGCACAAAAGAACCAGACATTCGGGCGAGCTTTCTGAGTTCAAAAATAGCCGCTTAGATTTTTTTAATTCAACAATCAATGACTCTTGAATGGACGGTGCCCAATGAGCTTGGAGCATTCAGCTTGACTCAGTATTCAACAGAAAATATATATTTTCTACCATTAACCTTTTCTGGGATTGGTCTCACAAGTTTGGAGCATTAAAAACTTTGGTTTCGGATGGGTGCAAACTCGCATTTGTGCTGTCCGGCACCGTATTCCTATCCCTTACATTACAGAGACCTTGGAAGCACGGTTCAAAATGATTCACACACATCGCCCCTATCCATACAACGTTTCTACTGCCCCTGATCTTACGGCAGTGCTTATTCCTTTTCCGCACCCACAGAGCTTCTGTTTCCATCTTCCATTCTAGCAAAATACAAAGAATTCAACTATCTTTACGAAAACCCTCTAAGACATTTCTCTTTTCTCCTTACACGCATTCCTCACCCTCCTTTGCCGACAGTTCCTAAATGCAATGGTGAATGTGGAATATGTAATATAATATGCCCCTTGGATAAAAGGTATTTTAGGAAATGCGCAGTACTCATAGGATGCACCAATACTTGGCTAGAGCCATACAAGAAACTCATATTCAAGGGAAGCAATTGGCCTACC